CAACTTCCTTCACAAAGCTATAGGCTGAAAAATTTCCTACTGGATTTGACAAAACATGAGAAAAAAATTAATGGAAGAGGGAAACATGAAAAAAATTGGAATTTTTCATTTACTGCTTGTTCATTAATAACAAATCCTATATGTTTAAGAGACTCTATTTTGGAAATCAGCAGATGAAACAGCAAATGGAAAAAAGAGCCTCTTCATTTCCTATGTTTTATTTTTTTAAAATGGAAGTCCCACCCTTCTCTTTTACTGGTGAACATGGGATGAAGGATACCTGCACTCCTGTCCTGCTTAGTCCACAGCTGGCTGACCAACCATGGTCTGAACAATACTGGATTGTGTAGGCCCTCCATTTGGTACAGCATGGCGTTTTGCGTGTTCTTACATTATTGCTGTTTATTTTCAAGTGTTAACTTTGTCATCATGTTCTGCTCGTAAAAAGATGGCTTACATTTGTTAAATGGCTACATTGTGGAAATAAGTTGTACAAGCTCAAGTTATTTACACTTCAGTGTTATTGGTTATTAAGCATACCGTTCAGCTGAACAATAAGTTAGAGGCTCATCTCTTCCCTTTTGACATGGAGTCCTGGCTTCATGGGAATTTTCAGAAGGGGGGTCCCATTATACAGTGTTTTCCCAGGAATAAGACAGGGTCTTATATTAATTTTTGCTCCAAAAACGCATTAGGGCTTATTTTCAAGGGATGTTTTATTTTACAGTCATGTCATCTTCTTCTGGTTCCTGCACAATGATGGAGGGTGGGTTTTCACTTAACTGGGGCTTATTTTGGGGGTAGGGCTTATATTGCGAGCATCTTGAAAAAAAAATCATACTAGGCTAGATCTTATTTTTGGGGAAACAGGGTAGAGACAAGAAATTATTTAACCTGCTGCTCACTGCAGGAAGTTTAGAGCTAATACTTCCACAATATGTAGCCTATCTAGCCTTGACTTGAAGACTTTCAGGAAGGAAGAGCCAGCTATTTCTCTTGATGATTGGCTTTGTTGTCGAGCTGCTCTTACTGGCAAGATAGAATAGTCCTGTGGTGCAGCGGTTAAACTACAGTACTGCAGTCAAACTTCTGCTCACAACCTGAGTTTGATCTCGATGGATTAAGGTAGCCAGATCAAGGTTGACTCAGCCTTCTATCCTTTCAAGCTCAGTAAAATGAGTACCCAGCTCACTGGGGGACAAAGTATTCCTTGCAAAATCATGTTGTAAACCATCTGGACAGTGCTTTAGCACTTTGAGGCAGTATATAAGTTGAACAAGAACAAGACGCCTTCCTAATATAAAACCAAACCCTACCTTCCTTTTGCATAAGCACACTGGAGCTAGTTCTTTACTCTGGCTCCGTAGGGAGATGTTTACCCTCTTCTGTGTGATAAGCCTTTAGGTATCATCCTTTCGGGGGGGGGGCATGTCTTCTGTTCAAAGAGCTAAATACACCCAGTTCTTTTAAACTTTTCTCATAGAGGTTTCTTTTATACAGCTGACTGATCATTGTCTTCCTCTGTATTCATTCCATTTGTATGTAGCTCTCTTAAAGTATGTGTTGTGAATTAGACTTTTGTGTAGAGAGAACACATAGGAAATGAAAACTGGATTTAAAAAATCCTAAAATTATGATGTGTAAGGAAAAAAAATGCATGGCCCACCAATAGATTGATCCAGCCAAGCCAAGAGGTAGTGCTAGAAGCAGTGGGAGGCTGCCACTTCACTAGTGTTCAGTTAAGGTTCAACAGCTAATCCAGCTGGATTCCAAATGTGCTAGAATGGGGTGTATGGATGATCTCATTTTTTCCTCTTGGGCCAGTGTCGGATTCAATGTAGATAGACTGTGTGTATGTGTTTGTTTTTGTGTTTATGTGTGTTTTGAGATGATTTAACAGGTATTCTCCCTCTCAGAAAAGCCTACATTTTGCACTTTACCATGTCACAAGGTGATTGTACGGTGTTGTTTTTTTTTCTTTTTAATGAGCCAGGGCTATATTTTTTTGTAGTTTGTGTGGCTGACAGTTGCTCATATCATGAGACTTTCAGTGTTCAGCTTCTCTAAACTCTAGGATCAGAAACAACATAATTTTGTAATTATCTATTAAATGGCATGTAAACAGAAGCAAACCTCATCAACAGAAACTGAAGCTTAGCATTGGATGGGGTATTAATATACCATTCCATATACAGCTGATGGATACTTATGCCTCCCTGTTCTCTGTGGGTACCAATTCAAGCTCTTCTTGTAAATGAGAAGAGTCTTCTCGTATTCCTTCTTGTAATTAAACCTTTGGGTTAAAAGGATTGCCTAGATCTCGTACCCAAACAGGACAACTGTCAAACAGGTGACCTATAAATGCAAGTCAAATGGCTAGAGTATCATTCCTTGTCATGATTATATTGTGGGTTTTGTTTCCCTTGTTCTAAGGATTGAGCAGCTTATTATTTTTTAAAAAAATGCATCATTGATTTGGTTTCCTATCATACCAAGAGAAACAAAGAGACCTTTGCACAAGTTGAAGAGATATCCATACATACTAGGTGGGAGGCTGCGATTCCAGCTAATAATTTAGTTCACCACCTCTAGCCACCCCACTGAGGGGTGGCCCTGATAATTGTTTCCAGAAGCCCTTCCAGTTCTTGAGACCATCCTTCCAGGACAGCAGTGGCCTGGAGAGGCAAGTGGGCAAGAGCAGGCTGCTCTCTATGACTGTTTGGATTTGAGCCATGGTGTCTATTCAGGATGACTTCCCAGGAATGACCTAAGACATTTTGCTTCATGAGACCATAAACAAGATGGCACACTTTTCCACGTATAGAAGCCAGTCTTCTTAAATAGTATGCCCCACCATATGTGATGGCAGCAGCTTGCTTTAAGGGGTTCATGGCAGGCAATATGGCACACAAAAGTTCTGTTCTCCAGCACTTTGGCTCCCCCCCTCCACATCTGCTGCCCAAAGCATCCTCTCCACTATGTCTAATGGAAGGCCCTTGGAGAATAATGAACAAAAAAGTACTTCTTAACATGATTTCTAATTTTAAAAAAAGTGACAAAGCACATTTCTGTGTTTTCCTTAGTGTAGATTTCTTTCTTTCTTTCTTTCTTTCTTTCTTTCTTTCTTTCTTTCTTTCTTTCTTTCTTTCTTTCTTTCTTTCTTTCTTTCTTTCTTTCTTTCTTTCTTTCTTTCTTTCTTTCTTTCTTTCTTTAATTTATATGCCACCTGATAAGTGAATGCACACCACTTTGGCTTGTATACAAACAAGCAAAATCCCACAACAACAACCACTCACTTCATTTTCAAAATAACATAATCAAAATAGTGCGATAACTGATGTGGGTGCGGTCAACTATAGAAAACCTGAAGTTCACACTTTAAAATTAACATAATTTCAGGTATGATGTTCATATATAACTGTATCTTGAAAGCAATATTGGGAGGAATGGAGCCTGGCGCACCTCAACTGGACGTTTGTTCCACAAAGTGGGGGCTATTACCAAGAAAACCCAACTCCTTTATTACGTACCTTTCTGGCCTCCTTTTATGTAGCACATTGAGAGGATTGAGAGGAGCATGTGACAAACGGGAAGATGTTTTGGAGGAGAAGTGTTCTGACAAGTATCAAGGTCCTAACCATAAGGCTTTGAAGGTCATAACCAGCACCTTGAATTGAGCATGGAAACTAACAGGGAGACAATGTAGATTTACATTTATGAAGAACTGAAAGCAACCATTCCATGGATTATTTACATTGGGATCAAATCTCATCCATTTCTGCTTTCACAAATATTTAGGGCTGGTTTTATACTGGTTGTACTGAATTCTGGACTCACTAGAATAGATTATGCTAACAATCATCAAGGAGTCACAGTGATTATAATATATCTGCTATGATTCAGCCTGAGCCAAACTCAGGAACTGAATCTTTAGATGTGAGAGGAAATAGAGGATTTGTGTTTGGCTGCATTATTGTAATGCATCCCTGCATTTGGTTTGGCAAGAGTATTCTGCTTTAATTTAAAAGACTGAGAAGGGACTGGTATGTTTACAGAGTTTATTGTTGAATCTAGAATTAGATCTTGAAGGGAGTGGAAGATGTGGATATTCTAATATTCTGATACTCAATGTTTGTGTTATCCCTATAGCATTTTCCCCTTGAGAGTTGGCAAGTCATTTCCAATTGCTATGAAGGAGAGTTCTTGCACTGGCAAGAATAGTTTTTTGCACAACTGTGCATAAATTATATAAAACTATAAGAGCTGCTGGGTTGTTCCATGGACTTTTAAAAATCAGAAGCATTGGTTGAGTTGCTTCTGTCTCTTTTAGTAACCAGCCATTTATTCTGTGCTTAATCTATTTGTGTGCTTTATTTCTCAAACACTAGTTTTGTGCAGACTGCTGCACAATTTGTGCAAACTGCAGAACCTATGACAGAAACAAAAGTGCTCCTTTTCTAACACAAGAAGTGAAGAATCTCTCAGCTTTATCACCTCATTGAGGAATCTCATCATGTTGAGACAAACTAAATTTTCAAGAACAGGAAATGTAGCTAGCATTATTGCTCACTTTTCTGTGTTAATTGGATGACTTTTTCCTGTTTTACACATTCTTTCATATAGCATGGTGGCGGGAAAGTGGAGGCTAAATATGAATGAATGACTAGTCATATAACAATGAAGTACAGTATAGTCTTTGTCCTTGCTGTACATCTATATAGATAAATATATGAACCAAAACTTTGTCCTTCACTTTTTGAATGCTCAGTCTGTGTCCTGGGTGCCTTTGCTCAATTAGTACGTTATATTTATTTTTGATTGACCAATATTTCCTGTTACAAAGAAGTGACATGAGAAGTTGAATATTTCATAAAGGCTTGAAGGTTATCAAATTTGGTCACAGTGTTGCAGTTGCTTTCAGTCAGTTCACAGAATGATAGGCAATGTAATTAAATGTTTCATTTCATTCTCTCTCTCTCTCTTTTTCTGCTTGATTGCAGGGTTTTTTCCGCAGAAGCATTCAGAAAAACATGGTTTATACATGTCATCGAGATAAGAACTGTGTTATTAATAAAGTCACTAGGAATCGCTGCCAGTATTGCAGACTACAGAAGTGCTTTGAAGTGGGAATGTCCAAAGAATGTGAGTTGACTGTAGAAGTTGTCTCATTGCTTTATTTATCTGTTCAGGTTGGGATGATGGTCATGAAGATGCTGTTACCTAATAAGACATATTGGGGTCACAAATAGCAATGGGCAAATCTGTCTCTCTCTTCCTTTCTATGACATTTTCTAAAGTTAATTCTGTTTCATTTTTATATCAACTTTCATTTCTTTAAGTCTGTATGAGATTTATGCAAAATTAAGTTTCCCCTTATACATATCATTTGGGTGCATTCCCCTAATACAGGGGTGGACAATTAATTTCTATAGGCGGCCACGTGAAAAATCTGAATTGTGTTTGGGGGCCTGTCCTCTGTTCCCCTGCGGTCTTCCTCGCTGACTGTCATCTATCCCATGCCTGCATCATCATGTCGTCTCTCACGGGTTTTGCTTACTGCTGTGTTGGGTGACTGGAACCGGAGCTCCGGCTCACTCAGCGGCGACGGATGGGCCGGACAGGAGCGACGACCGGCAGGCCAGACAGGAGCGGCTCACAGGCCGTATGTGGCTTGCGGGCCACACTTTGCCCAGGTTTGCCCTAATATATGCATTTTTGCAAAACATTTCCCCTAATGTATGCATTTTTATATGTAAATTCCCCTAGTTAGACACATTTGTACTCACTGAAAAGTGGAAAAAAGCAGCATGGTTGTATTCCAGTTTGTCTCTTTGTTTAGGAAGTGCAGTATAGTTTATATTAAAATGTTAGCAGGACTAAGAAAGGTTATTTTTTTTTGCACTGTGACTGCCAGGCTTCCCTAGAGGTGAAATTGGTCAGATGATTCTATAAGTTGTGCTCCAGAAACAACTTTTACAAGCTCTGGATGACAAAAAACAAAATTCACTTCCATCCTTGATCAGAAATTACTTTGGAATCTATATTGTAACAATATTTTTATTTTTTTAAAATGTTTTTTTTAAAAACATCACATATAGGTGGTATGTTGAATTCCTGTAGGCTAGACAGCTACTTTATTCCCCATCAAATCAGCAGGCTAAGATAAAACTAGAGTTAGTATGGATTTCACAGCCCTCAACTTGATAAAGTTGTCCGCGTGCCCTGAGTGTTTCTATTCAGGATTCCATCACAGTTCCTCTAGAGTAAACTGTTCCATTGAGAATCTTTAAAAAGGAGGGGGGAAAGCAAACAGTAAGGGAATCTGCTTGTGGCTTGTAGAGACACTTGAATAGGGATGTTAGTATCACCAAAACAACATTCTGTATTCTGCAGTCTATCTGATGGCTGGGCTATGGGGAAAAGCAGCCGGGGCTCCTGTGGTTATCCATCTCTGTGTGATGGCATTCTGCAGTATTTTGCTGCTAGTCCTTCTTATGCAATATACTTGTTGTCCCATGTTTGCACAGTGTCAGCTGTGAATCCCAGAGAAAGTTTTCCTAAGGTCAGGTTTGCCTTCCTTACCTTCATTGGATCAGTCACAGAACATTTAATTTTTTAAAAATCATACTTTCATTTTGCTTTTGAATGAATTCTGTTAGGTCTCTACTTCTTTGCTGACCATAAGTGGCAAACTGCAGTGAGCATTAGAAGACCAATATAAGGATCAGTTTCTTTCGTTACTGAAAATTCTTTAGTTCAGTGCTGTAAATACTGGTATAAAAGCAAAATAGATTGTGAATTGGCTATTTTGCAAGCATAAGAAGTACCAGGAATCTGAAAAGCAAAATCCCAAGTACCATAATTTTAGCACTGAAGTACTGTAGAGCAGAAGTGCAGCTACATAAATTGCTTACTAAAGTGGTGCCTCGCATAACGAACGCACCGTTGAACAATGAATCCGCATTGCGATGCAGATTTCCCCATCGCTAATGTGAGGGCATGCTCGCATTACAATGGGGGAACAGGTGTTCGGCGGTTCCAAAATGGCCACCCGACACCCAAAATGGCCACCCGACACCCAAAATAGCCACCGGAACACCAAAAATGGCCACCGGGACACCCAAAATGGCCACCGGAACACCAAAAATGGCCACCGGGACACCAAAAATGGCCACCGGAACATGGGACAACATCGGAGAACGGTGAGTTTGGGGCCCATTTGGAACGCATTAAACAAAGTTTAATGCGTTCCAATGGGTTTCCCCGTCCCGCTTAATGATGTTTTCCCATAGCGAAGGTTAATCCGGAACGGGTTAACCTTGCTATGCGGGGCACCACTGTATTAGCAGTCTCAGAGCATTGGGATTGTAGGTGTCAGTTTGGGGTCCATTTAAAATATTCAGTTGATAATAATTTAGTTAGAAGAGTTGACGAGGAAGCAGGAACAAAAGTAATCTGAGTTAAAAATGATGGTGTGATGTGTGGTTTTAGTGACAAATCCAGCATAAGGTTATGATGAATGTTAAGCAGGCACTGAACCCAACAGACCTTGAGAGAACTTACTGTCCTGTAAACAAATATATGTAGATTGCACTGCTAAGATAGGCATGCTATAGTGATCAGTTGCACTAACCTCTTAGGTATAGTTATAAATTATTAAAATTAATACTTTTAATTATTAAAAGTATTATGGGTTGCCTTGGGAAACCTGCCTGCTCACAAAATGGCTGTCATGAGACTGCCTAGTCACAAAGGACAAATAATTTTTCCAACAGATATGAGTAGGGAGGCAGGTGTTGGGCTTAGGCCTCTAGTAGCAAACCATATACCACAAAAAAATTACCCATTTTGTGGGAAAGAAAATCAACTGGGAAGACATTTGGAGGAGATTCAGATGCAGGTAATGTGCCAACAAACTGAGTTCATGATTGAGATTGAGCCCCAAAGTGCCCCACAAAGGTTTCCTACCAACTGGTGATGCTCTCACCAAATGAACACATAGCCAAAACGTCACCCCGAGAGGGCAAAAAGCCTGTGTGCACACACAAAAGTCCAAGCAAGATACCTCCTGTGCTACTTTCAAGAAGTCACTCTGTACTCCTGATGAACCTCCCAGGCTTACTACCATGGTTCCCCGAAAATAAGACAGGGTCTTATATTAATTTTTGCTAAAACAAAAAAACAAAAACTCATTAGGGCTTATTTTCAGGGGATGTTTTATTTTTTCATGTACAACAATCTATATTCAAATACAGTCGCGTCATCTTATTCTGCTTGCTGCACAATGGTGGAGGGTGAGGTTTCATTTACCTGGAGCTTATTTTTGGGGTAGGGTTTATATTACAAGCATCCTGAAAAATCATACTAGGGCTTATTTTTAGGTTAGGGCTTATTTTCAGGAAAACAGGGTAGTTGATGGCACAGTGAGTTATGATGTATTTCTATTTAGGTTACAGTTACCATTTCTAAATGTTATGGGTACATATAAGTAGCCATAAGCATTTTGTTACTGTTGCAAATCTCTGTCTATCTTGTCCTCCTTGTTAGTGATCACTGGTCTGTTTTTTCTTATTTGCCAACACAGAAGTGACTTCACTAGGATGATTCTGATATCTGCCTTGCAGCCGCAAGAGAAGGATGAAAAGGGTTGCAGGAGAGTTTAGGAGCCCAAGACTTAATGCAGTTTGGGTGCATAATACAAAAGCATGGGTTTAGCATTATGGCATAAATCCAACACAAAGTTCAATGTACTTAATTCCATTGATCTCAGTGAGCTGAAGCATGCCAAACTCTGGATAAGGTTTTGCCTGCGTCCAGAGTGGCCCACCAGTGTGTTCCCTCAAGAAGCTGTTGTCTTTCAGAAGTTGAAAGGCTTATATTTTAAGCTCCTTTCTAATCTGGCATTTTGAAATAACATGTTTCTTTAGATAGGTGTTGAAACAAAAGCCCATTTGTTGAAGGCTTTTAAGCGCATGTGTGTGTATGCATGTGTGCATGTCTGTTTTCACTCATTTTGCCTATGTCCTTAGTGCTCTGTTCCTGGAATGCCTTATAGTGTGAATGCCTATAAGACAAAAGAACAAAAAAGTATTCCCAAGGCCATGTAGAACAAGCCTACTTTGCTTCACAAACCCCCAATGGAAAAGTTAATTGTGCTGGACATTTGAAATAGCAACCCCAGTGCCTTGTCCTGAGGGCAGACGCAAGAATGAATATCCAACCTGAACTGTGTGAAATTCTTTGTGTATACATTGCTGTTTACTTCCTTGGATGTTGTAGGAAAAGCAAAGCAAGGTGCATACATCCTGAGGCTAAATAATTCCCCTTTAGGCAGTTTCAGTAGAAAACAACTGTATGTGCAAAACTGGCAGCCAGTCTCTGATGCTGATAGGATTTTAGAGCACTAATGAGTATAGTGTGGCTGCCAAGAACTGCAGAATTCATTTATCTTACTATCTAGTGATCTACTTTCAACTAGGTAAATGGTGAAATGTAATTAATTCAGACATTTGTAGCAGAATAATTATTCTCTTCAAATTTATCCAAGAATGTTATATGACCCTTTTTATCGGGATTGTTCCTGCAACAATCCCTCCCACCACCAGAGCTACTGATTCAAGCCTGATGGCATATACAGATTTGTGTTTTCTCTTTTATTTAGTGTCCACAAGTCCAGATATGGACAGAATGGTACAGTGGTGCCTCACTTAACGGGTGCTCCGTTTAGTGACAAAACCGCATAGCGACGAACTTTTTGCGATCACAATAGCGATCGCATTGCGATGTTTCCTATGCGGTTTTTTTGCTTTGCGATGATCGGTTCCCCGTTTCGCTTACCGATCATCGCAAAGCGATGATTTTTTAACAGCTGATCAGCAGTTCCAAAATGGCCACTGGGTTAAAAGCTGGCCGCCCGCTGTGTTTTCACGTGGATTTCTCGCTTTAGAGGCAGAGAAAATGGCCGCCGTATGGAGGCTCTTCGCTTTAAGTTCAGTTTTTTGCCCATAGGAACGCATTAAACAGGTTTTAATGTGTTTCTATGGGCCTTTTAAAATCGCATAGCGACGAAATCGCTTAGCAGCGATTTTTGCTGCACGGATTAACGTCGCGATGCGATGCACCTCTGTATTAGAAAGGATGGT